ACTTTGGTACATGGAGTCCAGATGCAGCTTTTATTTGATGTCAGTGCTCCTCAAGGGAGCACTGGGGCTGAGACAGACTCTTGCCAAGGCAGCTTGTTTCTCCTTCCCTGGGAGATGTCAGAGAGGGCAGAGGCAGGTAATGATGTCTGGACTGCAGCAACTGAAGGAGGAATACCCCTGCAGGCATTTCCCACCGCCTTGGGAGATGTAGGTGAAATGAGGTGTGACAGAGCCTTACAGCACTTGCAGAAAGAGTGGCTGATGGGAGAGGAGTGTGACTGGGGTACTCTGAAATCAGCTGGGATTTCACTGCTTGGGATGGGTGCTAGATCAAGTTGATTGCCTTAAATAATGCTGTTTATACATCAGCATCAGGTTACTGATATTTCTAGGTTAAGTGCATACTCAGGTCAGGGAAATGGCAAACGGACTTGTTTGTCGATTTGAAAGCACAGTTTGAGACACAGACATTGTACCTCAACCTAGATATTCATTCCAGAAGTATCTAACCCACGTAAAAAGTTTGGGAAAGAAGAAAAAATCATTTACAATAAGACATAAAAAAGACCTTGAGACTGCAAAATTTGTATTCCCCCCAAATTCTCCCGGAGATCCCTAATATTGCTTTACAGACAGCAGTACCCCAAAGCTCTCCATTTCTGTGCTGATTTGTACCACCTGCCTTATTGTTTTTGCCTTCAACACTATCAGTTCTGTTGCACTTTTCCTGTTTTGGAAAGTCTCCAGCTCTCATGACATTTTTAAGTGACCTTTGTATAGAGTGAAAGTGCCAAATACTAGGCTCCTAAACAGCGTATCTGCATTTATTTAGGAACTTAAAAACCCAAAGCTATCGTTATTTTAATGCCAAATCTCTGGAAAAATAAATGCAACTAAAATTTTCTTAAGAAAAAGAAGAGGGAGGTGGGTTATGTCACAGGAAAGGAAATGACAGTAACTAAATAAATGAAGGCTAGGTGAGCAGTCCTTTTCTTTTATTCTGTTGCTGTTTCCAGATCTGGAAAAACTACAGTTTGTACTGAAATGAATATTTATTTCCTCTGCTCAAGGAACTAAAAAGCTGAAAACTAATATTTTATTGGAGAGGAAAATTTTCATTTAAGCTCAAAGAAGCATTTGCAGGTTACATCAGCAAAAGCAAAGGAAATACAGATCTTGTTTGCAGAACTATATCTTCTCCTTTGCTTATGACTCGGGAGTGGGAGACAAGCTCTGCTCAAAAGGTTCTGGACAAGTTCCACCCTCCCAGAGCCAGGCTGGGGCAAGCAGCTCCAGCAGCCTCTCTGGGACCTTGTTGCACTTCAAGGGGAGGGAACGAAGGAGGTGCAGAGCAAAAATCCAGATTCACAAGTCGGTTTCAGGCAGATTCTGAGCTGTAAGAAATGTGTCTTTGATTCTCTGTTAAAAGACTAGGAGGATAATCTGGAGGGTCACATGTAAAAAGAGTTCACACTATATGTTGTTATGAGAGCCTGGTGGATGATCTTCACTTAAAATACATTATTAAATCTGTTTGCAAAAGATGATACAAGGAGTATCATTCTGCCTCCATTCCTTGTTACAATTACTGAGGACTCAGAGTCACTGAAACTCCAACATTCACAGAGGTGAGTTTTAATGGTAAGGCTCAATATGGGGGATTTATCCCTCCATGTTAGAGACCAGGATAAACTCTTCCTTAAAACTACTGTCGAGAAATCTCACAGCCTTCTCTCATAGCTCATTTTTCTAGGATTCATCCATTTGCCTTCTGGCAGCTGCCTGCAGTTAGTTTGCACCTAAATAAAAATGTATCCAAAGCTGGGCCCAGGCTCTAGCTTTTCCAGTAGTGGGTAGAGAAGAAAGGTGACCTTTATATCTCACATTCACATATGATATCCATCTCTTCACTCTCTGCTTGGCCAAACCAATTTAGATTCTGACGTTCAGGATCTGTCTTGACTTTGAGAATTTGTGTTTTTGCCTGTAAACCCAGTAGGCAAAGGTTCATATCAGATCTGCAGCTCCTAATGAGCCAAAATAAACACACACACCTCTCACAGTTGCTTTAACCTCACAGAGGAGGCAGGGACAGCCCTGTGTGATGGCATGGAGGCAATGACAGGGAATGAAATACTCTGCGTGGTTAACGTGAGTGTTGTGGTGAACACTGGCTAATGGAGGCAAAAATTAATAAGCTCCTACAGTGCTTTTTTTGTTAAATAGATTTCCAGAAGCCTAGCTTTGTTTTTTATTGTCTTTTCCTTAGATAAAGGCAGAGTAAGTGCAATGGGAGGAATGAACAGCTTAGCTACTCAGCAGGCTTGATAGCAACCTCTACCCAATGCAACAGTTGTGTGTGCTTAATATTAAGCATACACTTAAGTGATGTATTGAAAATAGCCTGGTTTGCTGAACACTTTTCAAAATGAAGCCCTCTAGCCTTAATGGAATCCATTCACACCTGCTCCACACCATTTCACAGGTTTATTTGCCCTTTTGGCCGACAAACAAGGAATATATTCCAATTTTTTTTTCCTCCAGTAGCTGTTTTCTTCCAAATAAATATCAGTATACAAAAAATGGTACTGAAAGAAGTATAAACTTTTTGGGATGAGTATGAAACAATGATATGCTAAAATCATAAGGCTAAAACAATAAATCATACAAAATGTCAAAAATTGTGCTGGTGAAGATAATTTCCCTATTCAGCAATAAAATCTTTTGCAGGAAAGGAATATTGAGACCATGAGATGATATTTTTTACACATATCAAGGAAGCAGTGTTAGCTCTCTCTCAGTTATGGATTACTTGTGTTTCATTATTTTACTCAGAAATCATCTGACCATTTACACAGAAAGGATCAACAGAAAAGACAGTGCCATTCAAGAAAGACAACTTAAATCACTCATCTGGAGCCAAACACTCTATTTTCTGTGTTGAGAAGCTTTTATTGGATCACCACAATATTTTGGATTAGTTTCACTATGGCTCTGAAATATCAAATTATAGTGTAGACATTTTCCCAATACAAGGAAATAAGGAAGTAAGAAAATAAAGAAACACAGTGCATGAGGTTTCGGTCACCGAACTAAGCTGAATTTTAAGAGCCAGTCCCAGTCCAATGCAGAGAAAGAACTTCTTCACACTCTTTCATAGACTCTAGTGCAGACAACTCCTTTCATGGTACATTCCTAAGGTACAAAGGAAGAGATTAATATAAGGCTTTTGCTGACACCAGGTGTGTCTGGTGCAGTAACATCTGAAGTCAGTGAAAATCCAGATGCCACATTTTACATCTTTACATATTTACAGAATTTTCAGAGCAAACAGCAAAGCTATATTGCAAATGGAGTTGCTTCTATTTTAACAGCTTTAGACTTCATTAAGCACCATATAATGACAAAAAGATTGCAAAATTAGGGTCATCTTCCACAAACAAATTTATCTTCTTTGGTATTATTGCTGGCTTGACAGAAATATTAGCCCCACCTGATGATTATAGCATGGCCCACAAACGCTTTCAAATTTACAAAGTTGGGGGTTCTTTTGTGTGTGGAAGCAGAAGTAGCCTGGGTATTTCAGAGGTCAGGCTTCTGGCCTAAAAAACTTTGCCCTTCTGAGTCACAAAATATTTCTCTTGACCCTCTCACCCCATGGCCTTCAGTGGCTGCTGGTGACTCACAGCCACAGGATGCCTGTGACAAAGGCAACGGGATGTTGAAAAAATACCTCATTGGTCTGCAAATGATGAAGCCTCCTCCACAAACCTGATGAGGCAAGGGGTAGACAGCAGGACACTGACAGAAGAGGAACCCTATCTCTCTGCTCTATGAAGATGGTTTAATGATTAGAAAAAACTTGCACAGAAATGCAGCCATGAAGAGATGCAAAAGCATCTCCCTAAAGGGAGGCTACAAGAGAGGTAGAGACGGACTTTTTATAGGGTCATTAGTGACAGGACAAGGGGGAATGGCCCTAAAATGGAAGAGGGTAGGATTGGATTGAATATAAGGAAGAAATTCTTTTTTGGGAGGATGATGAGGCACTGGAACAGGTTGCTCAGAGAAGTTCTGGATACCCCATCTCTGGAAGTGTTCAAGGCCAGGTTGGACAGGAGTTTGAGCAACCTGATCTAGTGGAAGGTATCCCTGTTCATGGCAGTGGGTTGGAACTAGAGGATCTCTAAAGTTCCTTCCAACTCAAACCATTATATAAGAGAGCTTATGAAAAAACAGTCAGAACAAGCTAATATGTAAAGGTGTAACGCTGCTGACTTCAGGCAGATCTCGAAAATAAGTTCGACTCCACTCTTTAAAAACTTTAATGAACAAAGTACTTTATTTCATTCAAAAATGAAATATTAATTTTACTAGTGACCCTGACACCTAGGGTCCCTAAAATGTTTTATCACCCTGGCTTGGCCAATCCATGGCTTCCACATGGCTGCTAGAGAAAGGAGCATCTAATGCAGGATGAGAAACAGCCAGCATTACCCTTCCCCGGGGAAAGACACAGTTCCCTCACAGCAGTTGGTATTTCAGAGTGGCTACCGAGATCTGCCAATCCCTGCTGCAGGAACACAGAGCTGATGGCTTTCACACACTACACCTCAAGAACCTGCTTAGTTCACTCGGCATGCTCATGTTCAACAGCAAGCAAAAGTGTGTGAATTGATGGGCTTTAGTGGAAATAGATGTGTGAAAAGGTGCAAAAACAGTTTTCTAAGGTTGGACAGGCTGTATTCCAATTATAGGGAAAAGAGCCATTCCAGGGACAGCAGTACCTGGAAGAGCCAATCCAGGGACAGCTTGTAAACTGTTTTTCATATTTCACAAGTTTCTGCTATTTCAAAACCTCATTAGTTTTAAGAATAATAATATTGAGAGCAGTAAGAATGCTGTCAATTTATGTCAACTCTGCAACTATAGTCACTTTAAAAATAACTTGCTGTATGGAACAATATTTATTTCCTTCCAGCTTGTTTTCTAAGCTTGGCTCACTCTTTCTGCTTCCTTGATAAGCCTAAATTGATACTCTTTTTAGACAGAAACAACCTGAAGGCTGCATCCTTCTGATCTTTATCAGCATACAGGGAACATGAACTTACCACTACCATTTTCCCATCAACCAGTCTTCTCTTTATCGTGGTCTCTTTGCCATTCCATTTCTGCACTTGCACCAATGAACCTTTCTCCAAGTTTATGACACTCTGCAAAGGCCAAGAGAAGAGTTTCAAACTGTAGTCTGAGCTCTGCAGGTTAGAGTAGCAATTCACTTCAGATTTGACAAGATACACGCTCTTGGTAATGACTAATGACACACTTAGTAACATTAGATTCAGCACCATACTGCTTCTTCTTTCAGTGCTTTCTGTGAATAGTTTGGAAAACTTATAGTGCACTAAGGGGGTAGGAAAAGTTCCTCTTGATGTTCTTCTAGGAGATGTCCAGACCACTCAGAGATTGTCAGCCCCCTTACCTTGACTTTCCGGTCATCTGCTGTTGTTTCATCAAACTGCTGGCCCAGTTTGAAAGAGATTGTTGTATTTTTAAATGTGCTTTCAGTTCTGATGGTTATTATGTCTCCTTTCATACTGATGATCACATCAGGCCTTGCCAGGCCGCCTAGTTTCCGGGTAGCTAAGCCCACTCCTAGAAATCAGAAACAAAACTATTACAGTCTAGAAAGCAAGAAATTCAGTATCCTCTCATGAATCTTCAGTGGAAGAATAAGAAACAATTTCTTCTTGAATACTTTAATGCCTGATTTAGATGAGACGCTAATTCTTCAGGTGTGGAAGTAGGAATGGGAACCTCAGTGCTCAGAGGTTGAGGCAGCCCCAGCTGATAGAGTGCACCTTCAGCAAGAAGTCAAGATTTATGTGGTTATACACCTGGGCACATTTAACTAAGAAGAAACATAGTTGTTTACAAATCTGTGTGAATTTGTGTAAAGAGAGAATAGACAGAAAAATTCAGAGGAATGGTCTGTTTCTCAATTGGTCTGTTTCTCATCAAATCTTGTGAGAATCCTTTTAAAAAATTTTTTTGGTAAACCTAAGAATTTGCGCTTTTGTTGACAGCTGCATGGAAGAAACTGGATACTGAACTGTCAATACGCTGGTGCTCGTTCAGTAAAACATACTGAAGACTGGGCAATTCCTAGGTTGCTATTAACACCCCTTAAGGATCCTTACATCTAAACCTCAATGAGAAGTACAAGTATGAAATATAAAAAAAGTCAAGGTTTAAGAGTGAAGAGCTGCTAAGAGCTTCAGGGAAATCCTATGTCAGAAGCCATTTGTCAGAAGCCTAGTGCTTTCCAGTCCAGTTCATTCTCTACATGTTGTGAAGTCTAGGGCAAGTAGGAATGAAGGTCACTGGCAGTGTATCACTGTTTTATAAAAGCAGAAAGGGGATAGCTGTAGTTAGTGCCTTTGTTAGTGCTATGCTGTGTTCAGAAAAAAAAATCTGTATAAAAGGGTATAAAGTTATCCTCAAAGTGTAACACTGTTTGCAGTAATTATTCTATACTAAACAATTCCATTGAAACGTTCAGAAAAAATATCTGTAGCTAGACTTTCATCCCACATTCACTCTGGTTAACTAATTAACTGCAATTCTTTTGTTATTCAATCTAACATTTCAAATAAAGGGAATCAGTGTCTCAGTGAATCATTTATATAGTAATAGCAATGCAATAGCTAGCTGTCTGTGTACTTGCTATATAGGAATGAAGGCAGCATTAAAATGAAAAACAATGCCTAATTTGTTGCATTCCTGGCGTTCTTCAGTAACAGATAGATTCATTCATAGGATTTAGATGTCTGAAACTGAAGTGTCATGAGATATCAGCTCCATTATATGTTGTAAATTATCACAAAGCGTGAGTTTAACAGTGCAATCAAGAGGAACATAAAAAATCTGCATCTCATGACAGAAAAACAAATTATATCAGTTCAGTTCAGTTAGATAGAAGTCAATTTATTACAGTAATTCATCACCTACCTTTTCCATTTTAGATGCTAAAGGAAAAATTAAATTATACTAGAAAAGTAATTAAAGTGTTTTTGTGGCCAGGAAGAAGGGACATCTATGGGCAAAGCACTCCCAAAGGAAACCTACTGAGAAAAAAAAAAAAAGAAAGAAAATTTCTTACCCAATTCTTTCATATAGTCATCAAAATTCTCACTGGAAACAAGTTTCCAGGTTCCCACAAATCGGTTACACATCGTACAGCCTTTGTGAGGTGTTGGTCCTGCAGAGAGAGGCAGTGGCGTGGCCACAACAGCTCTTGGTGGGAGTCAGAAAGATTGTGTGCCCAACTCAGATCTCGCTGGCCCGCTTTTAAAGAGATCCAGTCCCTGTGGAAGTCAGGAGGGGCCAATAGGAGAGGCAGTGCCCGGGCAAGACAATGTGCACCTTGTCCACGGCAGTCGTGCCAGTACCAAGGCTCCGGGTGATGTCTGCCTCTGTTTCCTCCACTGAATACATCAGGACACTGAAGGCACGTGGGGATGGGGACGGGACGTTACCACTGCACCCACAGAGCAGTCGGGGGACACTGCAGTAGGGGTGCCAGCAGCAAGTGCAAGTACAGGAGCACTGCGTCCTTATGACATCCAGCTCTGACTGTCCTCCCAGTATTATTGCCATGCTATCACCATATAGAAATCTGTAGGATAGAAATCTGCAGTGATCATCTCATCCAACTGCCCAACCAATCAACGGTTGACCAAAAGTTAAAGCGTTTTGTTAAGGGTATTGTCCAAATGCCTCTTACACACAGACAGGCCTGGAGTTTGACCACCTCTCTAGAAAGTCTGTTCAGTGTTTGACTACTCTCTCACTAAAGAAATGCTTCCTAATGACAAATCTGAACCACAGTTGACACAGGTTTGAACTATTCCCATTCATCCTATCACTGGATATCAGGGAGAAGAGATCAGCACCTCACGTTTCACTTCCCCTCCTCAGGAAGCTGTAGAGAGTGTTACCACTGTTGTCACTTCTGCGCTAGTAAGATAAATCAAAGCCATGTGGATTTTGGGAAGGAAATGTTAAGAAGTTGATGTAAAAAGTGGTTTGTGGGGTTCCTTGACTTTCATGATCCATCCTGGAAAGGGTCTGTGGGTTTTACCATTTAAAGGCAGAACTAAATTATACTGCTTTTCTTCATCAGATAAATGATCTGAAGCTGTGGGTTCTTCCCTCCACATATCCCAGGCAGCATCACAAGAAGAAGAGGCAGCCAATCTTCACTGGCTCCCTTCTTCTGCAACTGGGCATATCCAGAAGATCAGTGTATCAGTGGAGATCAGCTCTTGTACTTCACAGATGGATGATATGAAAAAGGGCTAGGTCTTTAAAGTGCTTATTCCTAGTTCAAAGGTCCTTTGGTGAGAGGCAAGCAGATTTGCTGACCTGGGAGGAGGGAATATACTGCTCTCTTTTTGTCTTTATGCACATGGATAGTTGGTCTGTCACAGAGTTAAGGGAAGATTTAAATCAGCACAGTCATATAAGGCATTGCATTCAAGTGTGTCCTACTATTGTCAGATTTCCTCAATGTTCCCTGCTGTCATGAAGAGACTCCACAGGCTCCTTGGGTCCATGTCTTCCTCATACTGGGGAGCCCTGAACCGGACCCAGCATTCCAGCTGTGGCCTAATCAGTGCTGAGTAGAGGGGAAGGATTATCTCCCTCAACCTGCAACACTCCTAATGCAGCCCAGGATATTGCTCACTGTCATTGCTGCCAGGGCTTGTTCCTGTTTCATATTCAGCTTGGTCCACTAGGACCCCCAGAACCTTTTCTGCCAAGCCAAAATTGAAAGATTGAATAATTTGAGTTTTGAGCATTGAAAACCTCTTTTTTTTTTTTTTTAATCCACATTTAGAACTATTGTCTTGTGGTTAGTAAAAATCAAACACAAAGAACAAATCCATAAAACATATGTATATTTGACAGTCAGGAATTTTAAAGCATTGTAATCCAAGACACCTCAAACTATCTGAAACTACTTAGTGCAAGACCACATCAGGTGTAATTCTGTCCTTCCTCTTCCTAAACCATCTTCCTGGAGAAAATTGTTACTTGGTACATGTAAAGATTAGAGACTTTTTTCTGACTTGGGTAAACAATAGTTACCTGTTTTTGTATGATTACTCTTTCTGGATTATGGCCACTCTTCAGCTCTACGTTGTAAGGATGGAGAGACACTGGGATTATAGGTTGCGGGACCAAATTTCTTGTATTTAGGGTTGAAAGAGTGAGATGGAGCTACTGGTGGGCCAAGGAGGGTGAGGTCTGGGTCTTGTCTTGAAAGCCGTCATAAGCAAGAAAGGGAACACACTGAAACAGATAAATAATGCAGTCTGAGAAATGAAACTATTGTAGTCTTTGGATTATATTGTGGTTGTGGGGAAATAAGAAGGTCTTAAGCCACAAATTTTGGTTGTATATGCAAAATGGTTTTATCCCATCAATAGTGTAAGCTGAGCAAAACTTCGCATTGCTGCACAGGGCTAATGAAACTGCAGTGCAGTGAGGGAATGTTTAGATGTAATACATAAATAAATGTAATATGTAAATTTGAAGGTGTTGTCCATACAGACCTGTTCTAAAACAGAGTTGCATTATATCACATTTTGTGTACAGAATAGCTAGCTCTTTTATCCAGTCTCTGGAAATGAGAAAACTCCTCCTATGTGAAACTATCTATTATTTCTAAAGAAACAATATGAAAATATTCTACCATTGCTCCTCAGGCATTCTTTGTTCTTTCATTTAATTGCTTTATCCACATAAAGACACTTTACAAGACAAGGCTGATGCCTTTGGGAAATAAAAGATGATTGGGATGTTGTAAAATCAGGCCCAAAGAAATTCAATAACAGCAAATTAGTCAGAATAGAACAGCTACACTGCAGTACCAGTAATCTTAAGAACAAAAGTGACAGAGAATTATTTATGCAGACAAAACCTCAGTCTTAAGCAGTCTCAAACAATGTTGACATTGCTACCATCTATCTCTGTCACTAAGAAAAATCAGTGCTTTCATTTAAAGGACTTGCAGTTTGGAAAGAACAAGAGCAGGGAATTCTAACTCAGTAGAAACAGTTGTGGAAACCAACCTTTTCTTCAAGTTTAAAGGGAAAAAAGTGTCAAAAATTGTAAGTACATATGATAAGGTGGAACTTTGATTCCATTTTTTGCTTACAGCTGGAGTAAAACAGGATTTTAAATAATTGAACTTGGAGATTATGAAGCAGCACTAGAGATGAAGGTAAAGCTTGACAAACATAGTGAACTAAAAATTCAGAGATTATTTAGAAATAAAGGTACTATTTAAAGAAATATAGAAAGTAAATTTATCTCAGTTTCTTTAAAGGAAATATGATCTGGGCAAAGTCAGTGCCAAAATTAGTCTAAATTAAATTCCCAGGACAGCAATGAAGAAAACAGAAATAAGACGGGAGAACAGAGGTCAAAGGACTTGCTGTGAGGGTACCAAGGATGTTTTAACACTGACTCTATGGAGCTGAAGGATCAACTCCGAACATGGTGCCAGCAGCCTGCCTCTTCCCAAAAGCTGCATTGGAGAGTGCAAATAGTTTCTTGTTTTCTTAGCTGGAGCATCCTACAAGACCAGGACATCTGGGGCCAAGGGAATGAGTCCAGACTGCACTGTGCATATGGTGCTTCACTGGCCAGGATGCAAAAGTCCTTCAAGTTCTTTCTAGTAGAAACAAAGAGTTAAAAGAAAAACATAAAAGTGACAGAAAGGTCAATAATCAGAATAAGCCTTGCTTCCTCTTTCTCATGAGCTGCTAAAAATCTGTGGGTGTGAGTCCCCTTTCCCTCTTATCATCTCAGTAACCTGAAGTAGTGATTGAATATACTAAGGGACAAAGATCTTCTCCTCTGTTCCTGTTAAAATTTATAAACAGAATGTCACTTTATTGAAATTTCCAAGAATTGAAGTTTTAAGTGGCTTGATTCATTCACAAAGTTTGAATTCACTCACCAGGTACAAAAATAAATGGTGATACTTTCAGAAGAGATTACCTGCCTCTGAAATATTAAGCTGTGAATGTTCAACTTGTAACTGTTGGCTGTATTGAGAATGTAAGATTTCTAGAAAATAAAGGCTGCTATATGAATACTGGAAATTTGACCTCTGAAATACAGTATTTCCAAATCTGTGGACAATGGGATTTATTTAGTTATGGGCTGTTATTTAATGTCTATATGTAACCTATTTAAGTCAATGTTTCTGATTCTTACAATCATCTCTCCCATGCAGATTTTCTACCACTAATCTACAACTGCTGTTCTTTAAGTTGGTGAGGCTTTACAAGCAATGAAACCACAGTTAAAACAGAGAAGCTGTTTGTTCATGGCTCTTTCAACATTTCCTTCAGGATTTACTGATAGCCTTTTGGAACTGCTCTTAAACTACTCCTCAGCACATGCAGAGTATAGAAGTCCTTTTTCCCTCTTTAGTTGTATAAGCAGTTCAAAAACTCGGGAACAGTCTGAGTCATGCAGAGGAAAGTTCAAGTGTATGTGAAGTCTCTGCTTCATGGTCGCCTCTGAGAGCTGACCTCAGGAATGTCAAGAATATGAGGAATTTAGTTCACAGATCCTAATCACAAAGCTTGAGATACGGTCATTTCCCCATTTAGTGGTTAATGCACATATTTTGAGATTTATTGTTCAGGTTTTCCCTAGAACTCTCATTTTTTTTGTTCTCAGTTTGAGTCCTCCCAGGTGTAGAAATCATAGCTTCTGTGGATGCAAAGTTTTGAAATAGGAGACCAGGCCTATGAGCATTAGAAGAAGGTAGTTTGAAAATAAGCAGAGTTGAAAACATGGTGTCCAAAGGGCTTTACATCTAGAGAGGCTCATGTTCCCAAAACTGATCAAACCTAATCAGCTAGTAGAAAATGCATGTAGGTAATAAAGAAGGTTGTAGCACTAGCAAACTTGTACAGGTTTTTAGTAAACCTGGGAGTACTTTTAAAGCTATGATTCTTAATTCAAGGCTTTTTGTCTAATACAGGACAAAATAAGATGTTAAAGAAAAGCACATTAAAAAAATAATCACAGATGAAATCAACAGCAGCTATAATTTCACTCTTGAGGGGGGAAAAGACAAGATCAAGCCACTTCAGATTGTCCCCAGATTTAAAATTTTCTGCATTTCTACACAGAGGAAGCCAGCACTGGTCATCCACAGCATCCACAAGCATCCATAGGTCGTCCTTCTCCCTGCCCCAGGAACAACAACTTTTGCTGGAAACCAAGAGCAGCCGCTTTATTCCCCTGGCTGTGCACAGGCTCCTTGCAGTGGGTAGCCTACATGCAGCACTCACCAGATGATGTTTCTGTGTCCAGGTCTACATCTGTCACTATCACACAAGTGCCACTCACTCCTCTTTCTGTGGTGAGATGGGTCACATTTACTGTGTGGTACTGCCTTTCACACGATTCTTTCCTGCACAGTACCCTTTCCCACATTACATGCCCCCCAAAGCCCCTTTCTAACAAATGCCAGCACAAGCACGGGTTGTAGAAAGCAGAATCTTTTATTGAATAGGCACAACAAATTAGACCAGCTGCATGTAACTGTTTTGGGATATATCTGAAAAAAGTACAGTTCTCTTTAAAACAGATTTATGGAGTTTTTCTCCTTTGGTTAAGTTGTTTTTCTCCAGCTTCAAGCATTAATCCTGTGTGAAGGTGACTTCTTCATGCTTTTTCATAAACTCTTTTGCAGGAAACATTATTCATGGTGCATTCCTGGAAAGAAAGGTAAATTCAATCAGCTTTTAATTCTCGCTAAATATTTGTTAGTCAGAAGGTAGAGAAGTACTTGTCATTGGGAATCAGTGTAAGAAAAATTTGCATTTCTCCTCCTCTAATACCAATTGTCAAAACAGTGAAACTCAATTTTGAGATCTTCAGAAACAGAAGTCTAAATACAAGCACAAGACTGAAAGAACATTAAAGGACTACTTCAGCGACCTCCAGGAGAGTTCTAGTCTTTTAAAAATCTCTAAAAAAGGCTCCTAGGATTTCTATGGAGGGTGACTGGACTCTGGACCTGGGAATTAGCCTTTTGTCCTTTCATCTTTTGCAGCTGTGGCTTGTCTTCTTCATACGTGTGTATAATGCATGCACACACACAGAGCTTTCAGACTTGCAGCTGTTGGTGTCAGCCTCTGCATGTTAGGCTCTGTCTTCATTTGTTTTTCTGTTAGATCAAACTCTGTTTTTTTCAATCTTTCTTAATAATGTTGTTATTAAAAACTATTTCTGTTTTTTCTCCTCTGGTCTCTATCCAAAGAAATTTAAATATTAAATTTATGAACATATTATTTTTCCCTAGGGGAGGGCAGAACTCTTTGGGAATTTCATGTATGTGTATCATTTTGCAGCATGTAGGAATCTCAGCTGCCAAAAATGAACACAGTTTTAGTCCTCTCCCAGATTCTTCAAAGTGTATTTCCTAAAACTGGAGAGCTGTGCTGGGAAGCCCTGGAGTGTAGGTGGGCCTTATTGGCACCAAGTCAAGCACAACAGTCTCTGACCAGATAAAACCAACCAACAGAGCTTGGACACAGGTTTCCTTTTTAGCTCAAACATCATATTATTGACACAGTTGTTGATGATGCATGAGATGGTTCCCACAGATTGCTGTTCAGCCTCTGCTGAAGATGAATTGGAGAGTTCTTACAGTGGATGCACTTAACATGGATGTTGCTAATGCTTCCTCTGTACTGTCCAGGACTTAGAGATTCTGATATATGAAAATAAAAATTTCCCTCATAGGGATGTTGTTTTTTTTTCTCCCTACACTTTCCTAACTATGTCTTGCTATGAATGGAGATGGGCACCTCCATACCATTCCATAAGTTTAACAGCATTTCAGTTCTAACCCACACTCCAGACTCATTCAGAGAGACTTCTTACCAAGTGCACAGAGCCCTTTATGGTTCTTTTCCCTTTCCTTTTGAATCCAAACTCATATATCAGCCAAACATGAATTCTGCATGCTGAAATCAGTGATTAGGTAACAAAAATGAACGCACCACCACCAGGTTTCCATCCACCACTTTTCTCTTTATGATGGTCTCTTTTCCATCCCACTTCTGCACCTGGTTCAGTACGCCGTTGTCTAGGGTTATGACATTCTGCCAAAGGAAAAAACAAAGTGTGGCTGTTTCATCAGGCTGCTCTGGGCTGAAGAGAAGACTATCTCCATGTCCCAATGGCACTGAGCACAAGCATTCGTAACAGTCTTACCTATGAAGGCAGCATTTCTACACTGGATATCAAAATCACAGCTCTACCCTCCTGCACCCACATCCCATTTCAGAGATGTATTTGCAAAGTGGCATTTTTGAACTCACCTTTGTTTTTCTGTCATCTGCTGTGGTCTCATCAAACTCTTCACCCAGCCTGAAAGAGACCTCTGTATTTTTGAAAGTACTTTCTGTTTTGATGGTTATCACATCACCACTGATGCTGATAGTTACATTGGGCTTGGCCACACCAGCCATCTTCCTGGTAGCAAACCCCACACCTATAAATAAGACAGAAATTTTTATCTCTGCTCAATGTTTTTCTCTTATGTGTTGCAAAAAAAAAAAAAATCAAAACCCTTCAGTGCTGTTTCCCCTTATTGCTTTCTGAATTTTAATAATTCTGTGTTGCAGATGTTCCTTTGTAACATCTCAATAGCTTGGAACTGCAATAGACCAAGTTGGGTGGGTTGATGTAAGGAGATTCTCTACTCTATGTAGAGAGTTGATGTAAGGAATTTCTACGTTGTGAAAATAATGTGAACACTGACACAAGATTTAAATGTTGGATTTTTGCACATGGACTTGTTCAGAACAACTGAGATAGCTTGTACTCTAACTTGTACGCTAAACGTATCTAAACATAAATAAGCAGAAATATACTACAGTTTCTAAGCCTTGAAAGCAATGAAACAAACAAACAAGGGGGAAAAAAAGCAAGCACTGTTTAGATTTATCAGTGGCTAGGCTGAATATAAGGAAATGATTAAGAAATAGCTGGCAATGGTTACGTCCTGAGTAAAATCTGGAGTAAAGATTAAGAGTGCAAGAGTCTCACTCTCTGAAAGCTTCTGGGTGCTGCATAAATCACAGTGAGTATTTTACCCCTAATCTGCAAAAAACTCCCAGCTTTTTACCATGTACTAATTGAATCAGTGCAGGTTACCCCATGCTTCTTCCACACTAACAGAATGTCGAAGACTTTTAAAGCCCAATTTTAAATTTAAGCAAGAAGCTTACGCCTTTAAAGAAAGTGTTAGACATCAAATCTTTGCAAGTATCTACATGAATCCATGCAATTTTCTTTGTTAATATTCACTGGAGGCAGCTGCAGAGTTTCATTCACTATAATAGCCATGGCAATTAATTGCTGCCTCAGTCCGGTAACAATGTAAAGTTGTTTGGGTGTGTTGCTTTTAGACATAGAGAAGCTTGCTGCTTTCCAGCATCACACCAATTTGCATGTCCAAGGATAAAAGCTAATTCATGCATGCATAGACTTGGTTTACCTGAAATTATTCCTCTCAATCAAGATTTTTCTACTTTATAGTAATTTAATACCACTAATTCAACAGCTGAGTTCTCCAGTTAAAGACCATCTGATCAAAATAGTCCGACTAAAGCTCCCTTGGCAAACAGTATAGCCAGAAAAAGCAAATAAAGAATAAAGTTCAAAATTGATATTCTTTCCCTGTCCCAGATACAACTCAAAATAACAATTCTCACCCAGTTCTTTCATATAGTCCTCAAAGTTTTCACTAGAAACGAACTTCCAGGTGCCCACAAACTGGTCGCACATCTTGTCAGGCTAGAAAGATGTCTTCCACAGGTTCAAACAGAAATGCAGGACAGGAGGATATTATGAGCTCCAGGAGATGAGGACTTATGTTTAAAAAGGAGCCGTGGCCACATGATGCTCTGGGATGACCAATGAAGAGGGAGTCCCAGTACCCAGTGTTTTTCTTCCTCCCCTACCCCTCCTTTGCCAGTAGGTCATAGTGTTATTATTCATATGCCCTTACTAGCACAAAGATCACTGTCTTGTTTTTATTTAATTATTTTTGTCATTTAAGAACACTTCACTGTAAGGGCAAATAATTAAACAGGCTTTCAGAATAGAAAGGTAGGCACAACCCACAGAGGGTTCTCTCCCATACTCTTTTCTTTCATTTCAGTCTACTATATCAAATGGACACAGCTCAATTCCTAGACTGTAAGATCCAAAAGGCTCGTTGGGATAATTTATTTTGCTTTCTGCACACCTGCAGTCAGAAATTTTCTCCAGAGAAGCACAGAATTACAGGAAGAAGTGGATTTGGAGCAGAGAGTGCTTGTGGCTGTAGAAGGTAAGGCAATAAAATTGCTTCTTTGATTAGGATATCCTTGTCATTGCACCACCTGAATCAATTGAACAATAGGTCTTTAGTCTGTGTTTATGTGATGGAGAGAGGATATGGGGCTCTGTGAGAAGTAACAACACAGAGGATTTCTCTCCCTTTCGCTCCCGTGCTTTCTGAAGACCTATGTCCCAATGACTAGCATTATGAGTAGTTATGGCATAAAGATAGACTCCAGTATTGACCTACAAAAGGTCCCGGGACACTTCATTTGTTTTCTGTTTGTGCTGATCAGGTAAAAATCTATTTGAGGCAAAGTGTGTACAGGCCTGACATAATGAGGTTCATCTTGACTAATCCTCAAAGCCCTGTTGCATCTGTATCAGAAAGCAGTCAAACAATTTCTTAGACTTTCCTTTGGCTGTAATGTGCTATTCCAATGGCAAAAAGCATCTAATAAGTGCAGAGTCCAACCCCTGCAATTCTCTTTATGTGGATTTCCTGGAATTGCTCTGCTGGTTGCTAGGCATCAAATATTGCGGTCCACGTATTTGTGTACTTGGTGTCTTTGTAAGTAATAATGTTATAGAAAAATTATTTATAAAGGATTGCAAGATCATAGGCATATTTGGAGGGGAAGGAAGGTCAGGAGGACTCCAGTGCACCCTCCTGCTCAGGTACAGTCACCTCTGAGCTCACACCAGGCTGCTCAGGGCTGTGCCCTTTTGAGGCTTGGAAAACTCCAAGGATGGAGACACTACAACTTCCCTGGGCAACCTGCACCCCTGCCCATCTGTCCTCAGGGTGAGATGATATCCTTATCTTCTCTCTGAAACCCCCTGCTTTCAGCTTTTGTTCATAGTTTCTCATCCTCCCACCATTCATTGCTGTGAAAAGCCTCACTCAGCTCCTTGGTCTCTTTCCCACAGCTGTTAAGAGCTGTTGTAAGCACTCCCAAAGGTTAACCAGGATGAACCACCTCAGTGTCACGGTTTCTCTTCAAAGGACAAGCATCCTGCAGACCCTCTGCTGAACTCACACCAAAATTGATGCAGTACCCTGGATACGATTCATTGAGTACTGAGAGGACAGGAATAATCATGTCTGTCAACCTACTGGCTGTACTTCTGTTCATACAGCCTAGGATGTTTTTGGCCCTTCTGCTGGCAGGGCTCAGCTAACTGACCATCAGGACCCTGAGAACCTTTTCTGCAGGGCTTCTCCCTAGTCAGTGTCCACCCAGCCTGGATTGCTGTGAGAGCTGAGTATGTTTGTACATAATTAGTTATCCTCTTGTGCCTTTAGGATGGCAGTCTATGGCAAACCTTATGCTTTTTTACCTTTTTTATTTTTTTTTCCTAGAATAGCTAATCTTAGATTTGGCCTATTTGTTTTTGATTTTTTTTTTACATATTCACCGACTTTGGGCTTATCTCAAAATAAATAAAACAATATTCTAATTATTGAAGCCACTGATGCCTTTTCTGGTTGTTTTTCTCAGAGTATCACATGCTCAGGTCCTCTTTAAAAGGAAACTCTGAGGAGCCTTCAAGTTTGTGTCATTATCTTGAGATATTTTTACTTCGGACTATTGGCTTGGGAAACACTGCACTGTGTGTGAGCAGTTTGTAGGAACATGAAAACTCAAATCCAGCAATTAAATAATGAGAACTGAAAGTACTCAGTGAGGATTGCTGCAATGCCCTGGATGGAAAGGATGTGATCTGGAAGAACTCAGTTCCTGTTCGTACTTTTCTTGCCTTTTGGGAGCTGTTGTGTGTGTGGCTTACTGCAATTAACATTCATTTCTTTGGAGGGAAAATAGGACTTTTATGTTCAAAACTACAGCCTGGCAGGGGGAATTGGCCTTCCTTTGGTGTTAACCGCTCTCTGTAATGCTTGTGCTGCTGGAAGACTTTTTTGGGAAGGCTGAAGCACCTTTCCATGCAAATCAGTTTGGAGCAGACAAGTGCACCCTCTGTATGCAGTCAATTACTTACACATATTTAAGGTGAATCTGAGCTAATTGTATATATCTTGCAAATGTGATAACCAAAAAATGCAAGAAGAAAGCCAGCTTGTGGGTTGACTTGCTTGTTTACTTCAAAGCAAGCAGCTATCTGGGAGCAGGCTTATGACTCTCACTTGGAAAGTATCTTACCAGCAGTCTCTTTTCCTTCAGGAAAGACTTCCAATGACAAGAGATAAACTTGTGGCAATGATGTCATCTAATAAAATCATACTCTTTGTTCTCTGGGGCAAAGGCCCCAGATCAGCCCTGCTGATAAAGACTGAAGTTTTTAATGGTTATGAAGAAATTAGTATGACTTCTGGGCCTGGAAGTTTAAGCAAACCTGTGATTCATGTCACTTGCAGAAGTGTCTTACCAGCAAGAGCTGGGCAATCTGGCTAAACAGCCCTGTGGTCATCAGCACTGATGAGATCTAATACCACCAAAAGAAAGGGCATCCTCAAAAGAGTAGAAACTTCCTTCAAATTAAGCAGAAATTTTGGAGAAACCACAGCAGGTAAGAGGTAAACCAGGAAAAGGAAGCTGGTGAGGGTCCAGCACAGCGAGGAAATGCTGTAAAGGAAATTTGTCTCTTAATCCAGATACAAACTGATGCAGCTCAAGTATACAAACAACGATACACTGTCTGCAATGTGGTTTCAAGGTGCTGTGACCTTTCAAGATAGTTCCTGATGCAGGAAATGTAGAAGTGACCACAGATCACAGAATTCTGTGATTCTGTGAAGTGGAATAGCAAAGGAGCAGCTTTGCAGGGGAAACCATGGGTTAATTCTTATCTGTGAGTCAGACCATGGCGGAGATCTACTTGAGATAAACTCCTTTTTACAAAAATAAGCACAATAGTAACCTCCCTTTGGCTCTTTCGGGCTTGCAGGAGGAATGACGCTGCTTCCACTACAGTATATGAGAAAGAAGATGTTTATTCCTGTAGTGAAGATATATCACTTAGGACAGCTTTTAACTGAGGACTGTGCCAAAGCTTCCCTGGTACTTTATGTAAGTATGGAATTATCAAAGGAAAAATACAGCTTACTCTGCAGTGTGAAAACATAAATTAACAATTATCACTATTAGCAACGCTGTTTAAAAGAAGAGTTCTTTCTTCAGTTCCTTCTTGTTCCAGAAGGGCAACAATGTACAACTCCTTTGATTGCTGTGAGTATTGAACTGGTGGCTACCAATGAGAAGCAGTGTATTGGCCTTACACACTTGTCTCCATAGTTCTGCTACTCTTTGAATCAAAGACAGAGATGAAAATGCATCCGTGCTCAGTTCCACACCAGATGCCATAGCAGACTATCAGCCTGTTAAGAATGACTTCTGTTGAAAACTTCCTTAAAAGAAATGTAGCCTCTATGTGGGGTTATTAGTGGCACCCATGGCAATATTCATAGTAAGAAAAAATACATATTCTTGCCAAAGCTATTAAAAATGGGGATTTTTCTTTAAGCAGGGAAGGAACTGCAGCTTTGATGCAAGCTTCCTTGATGCAGTAATACCTATTATTTGATGCAGTAATACCTATCACAGCAGGTCTCATGTCAGGAGGGAGGGATCCTGTCAGAATATCTGGTACTGCCGCAACTTAGACCAAAGCAAAAAGTTTTCTTAATACTTGTCTGGTTGGATACCTGAGTGGGAGTCTCTTCTAAGGCCCCAGGGTAACATCAAGAAAGGGAATCTAATGCTGAAGAGCAGAGAGGAGCAGGTTAAATAATGCCCATCTCTGCTCACCCACTTGCTACTTTCATTTCTGATTAATGTTTGAGACAGGTGAATTGCCTTAGACTTCTGCTTAGCCAGGAAAAGGTATAACTAAAGCTTCAGTACTCATGATGTGAGGCACTGACTTTACAAAGTACTGACTTCAGTTGGTTTGAAAATTCAAAAGGCCAATTGATTTTCAGTTGTATTTCAGTGGTGGGGAAGGAGGTGAGCAGGAAAAACAGCAGGTCCTTTTTCCTGTGCTCAGTCCCCAGCACCACACTGATGCTCCCCCACTCATGATTGTGGCTTCAGACCTCAGTCAGGACTGAGGGTACTATTGCAGATGGTCACTTTGTTGAAGGAGTCAGATTTGCCAGCAACAACAAACCACTTGTTAACCCATTATACTGCTCAGCTGTGACATTTGTACACCTTAGGCTGGTGCGCCCCAGCACTTGAGTTTTTACTTTTAGTGATTCTACATTCTTGTATTACCTCCTGAACTTTAGCCCAACCAGTGAGTCTCCATGTGCTTAAATATATTTCCAATATCTGAAAGTAGGACTATGAAAATTGAAACATATAAAAGGTGTTTCTTAAACACTAAGCTAAGTTTGTGATAATGCTAAGAACAGAAATGAAATCTCGTAACTCTGAGGCATAGTAAGATCAAGCCCAAAACAAAACCTGCTGGTTGACACCATCATCTTGTAATTAAAATATGCATAATTACATTTTCTGAACTTGCTTTAAAGAGGAAGAAGAAATGCAGATATGCCTGGAGGGAATGGTAAGCCTCTGGACCCTTGCCTTCACATGAGAGTAGTGTTGACAGCTGAAATTCTGACTTTTCTCAGCAGACGGCATGGCAAAAATATATGCTCTCAAACATCTGTGGCTCATGCCAGGGGACTGCTATTCCTGAGGAAAACCCCGAATTCTGGAGCAAGGCCATTGGCAGTGTGAATGCCATCAAGCAATGCTATGAATTGCACAGAGTGACTTCAAAGGAATATCAGAAAAGTAAGAAAGGAAGAGTATTTGCATATTGGGTTTGTTGGTTTTTTACACTCCAATGAGAAGAAATGCAGGTACACTAGCTCCTACAGGCATGCAGGTGATAGGCTTCCAGAATATAACGTGGGCATTTCTGTATAAGAATATTCAAAATATCGTAACTCCACCTCATAAATACTGTATTCAGGAACTGTCACAGGGAGATCAGTGATAAATCTAACTTCATGACTTATAAAGGTTTGTATGAGAGAAGTTCTTGGTTTGATGGCTATAAAGTAGTTACTGCAGATGTTTAATGTTTCTAACTACCTACTGATTTCCTTTGCCTAAAGAACAAGTTTAAGGTTGTTGTCTGAAGTTTCTGATGCTCAAATCTGTCCAACTCTTTTTTAAGTATGGTACAAGTCTTGCATCTAGCATCAGAGTTTTTCCTCTTAAGACTACAGAATGAAAGTTGGCCTTTTTTCTGAGTCCCACTTTATCTTGTCCTTGGGTTTCATTTCCCTGGACTTGCCTCAGAGTACATAAATACTGCTTTTCTTCCTTCCCCACATTTTCCTGCTCTTCCCCCCTCCCAAAAAGAAAAGGTGCTTTTCTTTTCTTATTTCTTTCTTTCTTAACTTTTTTCTAAATTTAATTATTGCAGCAGACTTGCAAATGAAGAAAGCAATCCATTTCTCAAAGCACTTTTGGATTTCTTCTAGCAATTTGAAGACTTGCTTATAATGTTCTGAAAACTCCTTTGTAGTCCTTCTCCAGATGCTCTTCTGAATTATTCCGGATCATTATGCTGAAACCATCTCTTGAAGCACCCATCTGAACAAAGCATTAAGACTGTTGGTTACATCTGCTTTGGGACTGCCCAAGAGGACTTCATCCTGACTCTACCTTGTTACTGCAGCTCATATGATACTGCCTGTCCTATTTCCATGTGGTTCTGCATCTAGAATTCTTCCACTGTTTGTTTCTTGCTAAACATTTTTTAGCAAGCTGAGGATAAAATCTTCAAATAAAAATGACAGACTAGTGCACTTTGGTAACATGCAACGTTTTGTAAATTTAAACTATTCCTATCAGTAGTTGTCCTTCTCTTAACAGTTGCCCTCTTGTGAAGCAAAAACATTTCCAGAATTTCACTTGTGTCTAAGACAGCAAAAGAAAGAAGAAAGTGTAAGAACAATATTTCAACAGGACTAAAAGAATCCTATACAAAGCATTTAAGGTCTGCTGAACCTGCACTCTGAGTAAATATACATGTTTTTTGCAGCCTTGTTTCTGCATGTCTTCATTCTTCATTGTGCAGTTTATAGCTAGCTATGCTTTTAATCTGACAGCTTGCTCTGAAATTTTTCAGAGATCTTGTATTTGCCAGAAAGCTATCTCTTATTACAGGTGCATTTGGACCACAATCAAAGACCAAGTGCTCTAGGTAGAGGAAAGTAAAAAAATCCAAGTATGAAATGCCCTGAGTTCAGACTGGAAGCCTAACCAAAACAACCCTCTCCCTCTATCCATGGCTGAGGAGCTGGTGGGTGTAAAGGCTGGCAGCTCTCTGGCTCTCTGCAGTGCTCTGCAGCTGACTGCTGCCCCTGGGCGCTGCCAGCTGGAGGGAGGGAGAAGGAGCCAGCAGCTGCTGCCCAGCCACTCACCTTGCCTGGTCGAGTGGCTTCTTACAGCTGCCTCCACTGCAGCCTTGCCACTGAATTCCACTGTCACTGCCAATCTCATTTCACCTCATCTTATACCAGATAAAGTAGGTTGGGAATCAAAAGGATCTCTGAGGAAAGAAATGCAAAGGGTTTTCTAAAGCAGTCCGTTACTCCTGCCCTTCCTGCTCTGGACAGTTGTCTTGCCAGGAACATTGCTTATGTTTGGCATGTAAAAACTCACATCACATCTCCAATGAGGGAGTGCCTATAAAATGTGCTACTTAATGTCAGGTAGTAAACCAGATCCCACTCAGGATGCTCTGGAGAGACTGAAAGCACAGGGCAGCTTGCACAGGGAAGATGGAGTTTGGCACCATATGTGCTGCATCCCTCCCAGCAGGCATATTCAACAGATGTAGGCAGCGTATATCCCTACGGCTCTTGGTGACCAAATCCCTAACCATAGCCAAACCTTAGTTTTGGCATACACAAGGTCTCTAAAGCTGATAGTGACAATAACAGCATCCAGCTGAATCCTAAAATGGACATGCAGCCCAAAAATTGCTTTAAAATGCTCTATGCCCTTTACTTTCCCCTCTGGAGGATCTCATCACATCTGGCAGGCACGGGAAGTTGTCGATCTCTATTGGAGATGCGTGGCATGAGGCTAGACACATGCTCTTTTTTGTAACAGACAATTTCTTCCTCCACCCCTGCAGGTATGGCTTCCTTGTTCTCTGATATCATTCTAGTCTTATTGTCAAATTACTTCAGATGAACATAACTTAATTGTTTTTATGATCTGATATGGTTTTAGGTTGTACGTATCATTGTTCTAACACTACTTTCTGCATTAGTTTTGTTAATGTGAACTTCTAGTAAGCCAATACTAACTTGCTGAAATTGTATAGAGGTATTTTAAAATCTCTTCTGTCATTTTTAATTTACGGACTGGCTTATTGCTCCCTCAAACTGCTTATTACATTTAAGACATGACTGTGACACCTTGGGCACAGCCACCAAGTCTTGAAGAAATCCCCTGCAGCTATAGCACCTCAGGTTCTTCCCCTGCCTGTATAACAGAGAACAGAATCATTTAGGTTGGAAAAGACATCTAAGTTCAGCCTTTGACCGAACACCACCTAGACCATAGCACTAAGTGCCACGTCCAGTCATTTCTTGAACACTTCCAGGGATGATGATTCTACCACCTCTCTGGGTGGTCCATTCCAATGTTTAACAACTTTTTCCATGAAGAAATTCTTCCTGATGTCCAACCTGAACCTCCCCTGGTGCAGCTTGAGGCCATTTCCTCTTGTCCTGCCACTTGCTGCCTGGAAGAAGAGGCCAACACCCACCCCACCCCCCATCCCCCGGGCTACAACCTCCTTTCAGGTAGTTGTAGAGAATGGTAAGATTTCCCCTGAGTCTCATTTTCATCAGGCTAAACAACCCAAGTTCCCTCAGCTGCTTCTCATATGACTTGTGTTCCAGTCTCTTCACCAGCTTCATTGACCTTCTCCACACGCATTCCAGTCTCTCAGTGCCCAGAAATGGACACAGCACTTGAGGTGTGGCTTCACCAGTGCCGAGTACAGTGGAAGAATCATTGCCCTGGTCCTGCTGGCCCCTCTATTCCTGATACAAGCCAGGATGCCATTGTCCTTCTTGCCCACCTGGGTACACTGCTGCCTCATGTTCAGCCAACTCTCAAACAGCACCCTCAAGTCCTTTTCTGCTGGACCACTTTCCAACCACTCTTTCCCAAGCCTGTAGCACTGCATGGGGTTCTTTTCTCCCAAGTGCAGGCGCCAGCACTTCAACTTGTTGAACCTCAAAGCTTTGGCCTTGGCCCATCGATCCAACCTGTCCAGATCCCTTTGCAGAGCCTTCCAACCCTCCAGCAGATCAACACTCCCATCCAACTTAGTGTCATCAGTGAACCTACTGAGGGTGCACTTGATCCCCCTGTCCAGATCATTAATAAAGATATTAAACAGGACTAGGCCCAATACTGAACCGAGGGGAACACCACTACTGATTTTCCACTGGATCACCACCACTCTCTGGACCTGCCATCTAGCCGGTTCTTAGCACAGTGATGAGTGCACCTGTCCAAACTGTGGGCTGCCAACTTTTCCAGGAGAGTGCCAGGGAGACAGTATCAAAAGTTTTGCCGAAATCCAGGTAGACAGCATCCACAGGCTTTCCCTCTTCCACTAGGTGGGTCACTTGGTCATAAAAGAAGATCAGATTGGTCATGCAGGACCTACCTTTTCTAAACCTATGCTGGCCGGACATGATCCCCTGGTTATCCTGTATGTGCTGTATGATCGCACTCAAGATGACCTGTGACATGAACGTAAGTGGCATGAGCACAATAATCAGCATCAAGAGCAGAAGAACTGAGTGGGAGAAGTGCTGCTTTCGACTGTTGAGGACGAATCCCTGGGCCACAGAGCCTGAGCCAAGGATATTGGTTGGTTCATGAACATCTGGCACAGGTCTGTTTTACAGAAATGGGCTTGGTAGAAGGAAAATTTACTATTTGTGTTGCACTGTTGTTCATCCAGTTTCCAGTTATTGCCTATGACAAACCACATCCCTTTTTCCTGGAATTAGCCAGTTATATATTCAGCTTTTCTCCAGGGCTGGTAGGCCTCCTCTTCAATGGGAGGAGTAAAGTGCCTCCTCTGCAGGAAAGTTGATACTTTTGAGTGTGCTAGTGGGAGGTGGAGTATGGCAGGCCTAAATTCCCTCAGGCTGAAGTGGCTGCTGTAGCTACCTCTCCTGATACTCAGAGAGTGGGAGATAGGGAAGTTTCATTCAGCTGTTTTGGTCACATTTTATTAATAAGACAGTTGTCTGCATCTGCATGGATCAAAGGTATGTTCACAGCTGGTAAAGCTCCATGGAGGTTCCCACATATGGCAAGGGCTTCAGAGAATGCTCCTTCTTTTCCTTCACTGAGCTGGCGTGGGTATTTCTTCCCATAGCATGGTCAGTAGTAGAGATCCTTCTCTTTAGGACCTACACTTCTTCATATTTTGAATATGAAGAGTTTCCCATTTACCTTGGTATTGGCAATTCTTCCTCTCAGACTTCAGTTTAAGTATTAAGCATCTGTTGGTTGGTTTTGGGTTTTTTTTTATCTATCATTTACTGTTCCAGCTAACACCTTATTACACAGTGCAACAGCATAAATCTGTATTCTTCTGGTACTATGTCTCAATCTCATTTGTTGACATCCCTGTCATAGATTGACATTTATGAGCAGGGAGTACTTGATTGGAGAAAAGATGATGAATTGATACATACATGAAGTCTTCAAAGTTAGTTCAAAACAAGCCACCTTTAGGGCGATATTCAAGGTGGTCATTGAGTGAAAAATACCAGCCTATTCACATTCCTTCCTATGGGAAGATGGGCTTGTGAAAGACACTGGGTAGTTGAAAGCCTCTGAATCCACCTTCATTAACTAGCAAGGTAGTTAATACCAAGACAAAAAGGAGTGGTAATTAGTTCTGGTTCAAATCTCCAACTGCTGTTACCTGGGTTCTCTCATGTAATGAGTGGAGGGAAGGGCTCAAATGATCACTGTGATCACCTTAATACCTGCTCAGGTAGATTTCGAGAGTTACAGATCATCAAGATATTTTTGGACTCTGTCATGGGAAAGTACAAAATCTTGGCCACACTGAGCAAGGCATCTGTGAGAACTCACCATCTAAAGAGAAAGTGGCACTTGGTTATCATTTGATGCCACAATGGACCACTGAGCATTGAAAGAGCTGCTTGCATCTCTGGGCAGATTCCACACAGGCAAATTCCACACGTTGCAGCAGTGAAAAATGCAGTATGAGTAACTGTGATGGCAGATGTAGATGTTGTGAAACTAAGCCTGTAGAAAGGAGTCTCACTGTGATGAATGTGGTGTGTTAAAGCCATTCCTGATCCCTGAAACAGTAATAGAATGTCATCAAATGTTGCTGAATTGCTATTAATAATTGCATGTGCTTTTAATATGATACACGATGCAGAAAAGGTTTTCAAGTCTCACTGTCAGTTCTTTTAAATCTACAGAACCACTAGATGAGCACAGAGCTCTAATCCAGTGGGCCAAATGTAATTGCTAACAAGGCCAAGATCCTTCCAGATCTTGTAAGCCATCAAGGAAAGCGCTTGGTAATTCAGTTCACACAGGCACAATTCTACGTGGATTTGCAGGAAAGAGTAGTCTTACTCACTTATCCTAAATCATGATAGTTTTTCATGAGTTTCACAATGTTCTTCTACATCCCATTAAAAATATAGTATAAAATTATCTACATGAGCACTGATGAGAAATTCCTCCATGTAACATGAGAACTTACATGTGAACTGTTTTGATTATAGTTGAGATGTGCAATCAGAAATTTATAAAAGCAATAATAAAAAGTCTTACAATTGTCCTGGTTCCTGCAAGGACAGGGTTAATTTTTGTAGTAACCAGGAAGGGGTATGCCTAGGACCCAGAGGTTATTCTATACCACCTTATGTTATTTTCCAGGAATGGGGAAAAGGGTCCCTTCCAGGTCCGGGAAGTGTGGTGGTGGTTTGTGTATTGCCAATTTCTGC